TAATGTTACAGCCGGAAGAACAGACAACATGCTGGTGGGAAGCGATGAGTTTCCGGCCGAGACTGGTAGGTGTTATGGCGGTGGCGCTCGGACTGTGTGGGGCACAGATAAGGTAAGAGAAAAGAGCAGGGACTGATGTTAGGAATTAAATTTCACGTTCCGCCGGCTCTGACAAACACTGGGAAACGCTGTGAAAAATAAACAGGGGAAGTGGATTTGCTGTCGAAATATTAGGAGCAAAAAGCATGCGTCCCCAGCGAGTTCGTGCGTCTCACTTCTGTCTCAGAAAGACTGTTTTTTCTCTGTCAACAATGCAAACGTTATCCGGTAACTGAAAGGGTACTTTCGCCTGGAGATACAACTTTTCTTACCGTGACGGAAAAGGCTGCCAAGTAGACCATAGGCTGCGTCCATTTCTTGGGCGACCATCTAAATGCAAATAAAAGAAAGTTAATCCGCTTTCCAAAACCTCTAGTCAGGAGGTATAGGTCAAACTACATTAACCTCAAGTACACAGTCAAGGAAATTTGGGAAAAGACTGCGTCTGCAGCCAGTATCCTTTCTGATCTTATCTCTTCTCTCTTCTTTACACCGTAGCTGAGGACAATTTTGTTTACATGGGAGAGCGATGCATTTAATAGGTTTTCAAACTCGCTAAAACAGACGTTTCGAATACCTTAACAGTTGTATATTTTCAAACGACTTCAACAAAAAGACTTTCTCAACAGGAACAATATCAACATAACTGCAGATTAAATCAGTTACTCCCTTAATTGCTCATCTTAGTTTACCTGATACCTTATCTCTTCACACAATATCTTGGCTTGCCATGCTTCTAGAAATTTGCCTAAATTAATTATACCCACCACCGACCTTATACGATTGGCAGCGTTGATATTCGAGCCAAAGGGCTTTAGGGTAGAGGTAACAGGCCGTCTTAAAGGTCATTATTTATGCTCGAGTTGCAAAGCTAATAAGATAATGCGGAAGCTTATCGCAGTTTTTAAACAAGGCGGATGTATCCTGTAGTTGTTTTGGAAGTGCGAAGTTTCTCTCCGCCGCTGGCCAGTGTTTATCTGCTTCGCCTTTGTAAAACTAATCTTACGCGCCCGCAATGAACAGCGTTGGGACGAAAACGTTGCTCGCAATTGGGCCCATAAACAAATTCGGTGGTCTCAGATACATAAACGAAGGTTACCAGGCGACAATCATTCCTTTACTAATCCATTTCTTTGAAAATCCATCATTCCAATATTACTGCAGACGAATAACATAAGGCTGCAAGATTTTTCTATCAAAGAGATTCAACTGAAAATTCATTAGGAACGAAATTTGGTTATAGTTGAAGCTGAACTTGTATACTGATTGTGGACTTTTCAGACAAGGAAGCGTCAAGTCATAAAATTGGCTTAAAAAACAGCATGCGAGAACGTTTGAGACAAACTGTACGAGATCCCAGATGAAAGTTACTCGAGCGAGTTTGAAAGCCCTCATCTTGAAGAGGAATTGTCGAACAGTCCTCCATTCACTCTATAACCGTCCGACCGATCGTGAACACTTGACTTTCAAAATATTTCGGATGTATACCGCGAATAAGTGATATATGTCTTTATTCATTTTCTTTCGACACCAATCCGTTCAGTTCCCTTAATCAAACTGATTACTGTCATGCCTGGTTTAAGCCTACACAAACTGTCAATAATAATTCGCTGAAGTCAAGGGTTCGTCGAAGACTCGGTTCAAATTTCTGCGTAAATGTTAGGGTTTTGAGGATCTGTGGAAGCCGTTTTACTTAAAATTCCCCAATCGGGTTGACGGCCAGAAACCTGTAATGATATTAAGCTGGCAGGTTCTCTCTTCACAGAAAACTAGTTCGTCTGCTAGAATCAGCGGTAATCATCATTATCTGATATCGTTCTCAATTTTAGGGAAGAGTTTCTGGTAACAAACAGTAAGGAATGTGTAGCGATGTCCGACAAAATCTAACTTAATACCTAGCCCATGTTAGCCATAGTGCAGTTTGAAGGATTGTCGTTGTTGATGAGGCCAAATGCATTGAACGGGAAGCATTCTTTGTGAACGACAAAAAACGGAATAGAGGTAACCCAGGTGAACCAAATACAAGAGCAGCGTAGGGGTGGACAGTGAAGCGAGTTACATGGTCTTGCGCTTAATATTAGGAGATGCCTCTTGTTGTGTCCTAACTCTAACTTGTACCTTAACTCTAACTTAAATCGCCGAGGAATTTAGCGCAGTCTCACCTGTGTTAACAGGGGGAGGGTTTGTTCCCGCCCTGCCGATCCAGGTTTTCAAATCGTTACATAGAACAAATCATTCATTCGCTGTTGTCCAGTCCATAGTTTTTAGCATGTATCTTAAACGTCTTATATTCAGATGGCTGGGTATTGCCGCCATTGTTTTTATGGCCGAACGTTAGACATACCAGTCATAGGCAAAAGGTTTCCAGGATTGCTAAGTAGTTTACTCATTTCTTTAAGTTGTCCCTGTAATGCTTTTTATTCACTTTATCAGGAAGCAACGCATCCAGCTTCTTCATAGGAAAGTCATTGCACGCCATCTACAACTTAACATTCGCCCAAGCGTGGTTGAAGCAAGTTAAGCATCGCGAAGAAGTTTAGTATAGGAATCAGTTCTAGGGTCCATATTTCTGGGATTCAGTTTTGTCCCTTCACTGCCGAAAACAGCTGAGGTGAAAACGACTGAAATTCCTCGTTTGAATTTTGTAGGCGTTTCAATATTATGAGTCATAGAGAAGCACAGTCATTATGATCGGGCGGTATTCGTTGATGAAGATACCAAAGAGACTGTGGCCTTTCAGCATCCATGCCAGTTTTGGACATTTTTACTCACATTTACTGATTGCTAGTTATGCTCCTTGAGATTTTGCCCGCATCCTATTAGCATTTGTCCGCAT